CTCCCCTCCCCTTCCCTCAAGAAGGCGATGAATAATGACCATTCCCGCCTTGATTTAGTCTGAAAATCTTACATGATTACATTGCTCACAGTGCATGGCTACTCGCAATTCAATCAAGAGATACAGTACGCTGCTAGCTTCCAAACATCACCTACGATAGGTTATACCATATTTACCTAATTGCAAATTTATTTTTTCTTATCTATTTGAATCTGCCAGTTTTGATACTTTACCTAATCAGAATAATCTGAAGAACATGTTTGAATATATCACTGCACAAGCTACATTTTCATTTTGTGTGTGTGTGTGTGTGTAATTTTGCTTTCTTCTCAGGTATGGGAAACCCAAGTCAGGAGGAATGGGAGGAAAGAATTCTTCATCTCGCCATGGACGTGCTGAGTGAAAGTATGCTTGGAATACGACTGAGTGGACACAGCTTTTTGCAGTGGAGATTTGAAGTTCTTAAAGAAGAGAGGTAAGAAGCCTTGAAACAAATTTCCCTTTAAAGTAAATGCTCGCCTTTATTTAGTTACGAGGACACATTTCGGAATGTGAGATTTCTGACGTCGAACTGCGTTCGCTATTTCGATAACATTTGCCTCTTTTGTTTTAAACGCAGGTCTATTATTACTCATGTCATGTAAAGGGAATCGTAGCTTGCCTTTGATCTCCCCTCCCCCACATTCTCTTCATCAAGAAAAAATCGAAAAAAAGCGGCCTTGGATGGCCTTCAAATGCCAGTAGTGTGCTAGTCTAGAATCTTCTCTGGAAATTTCTTCCTCCCGCACCCCGTCCCTTTTCTATGATAAACTAATAATTTAACATTCTCGGATTATGGAGGCTCGGTGGGAAGGCATTGACTGCATATTTGTTACGACATTTTTGTTGGCGGTAAATGACTGATGATGACTGGACTTCTCTAGTCGTAACTATAGTAATGTAGCTTATTGTTGGTTGTCAGCCTAGTTTTTCGCATTCCTGCTGACGCAGCACGACAGTTTCTGGAGGACCAATGACCTCGCTGAGGAACAGACGGTCTACCCAGCTGACTGACTACTCTTATTTTTTAAAATAAAATGATAATAGTAATAATAATGATAATAATAATAATAATTATAATAATAATAATAATAATAATAGCAACAATAATAATAATAATGTCAATTGCAATTTTGCCATGTTTATAGGACGTGCTTCGGCAAACCATCTGGGAAATACAAGAAAGCACTTCACGCGTTTAACCATTTGAAAGACGCCATAGCAAATGCTCCTGATATTGATCCAGTCTTAAAGGAGGCAGCCAATCACGGTCTAACAGAAGAAGAGGCGGTCTTGGAGATTCTGTGGATGTTGAAGTAAGATGCCATCTTTTAGTAATGACGTTACGCTATGTTACGCTCAACAGTATTCGAGTTTTGAGCCTCCCCTGTTGGATAGTGAGATCGATGCAACAGATTATAATCTCTTAATCGAGGATGGCTTTGGTTGGAAAGAAAAGAACTGAGGAATGAAGTGATAATTTGCGTCTTTCCCATCCAATTTGGCGTCGTTACTCGATCAGAAAAGTTAGTTCTCTCTTGCTTTAACATGATTGATGCGAAAGGCCACTAGGCATGGTAAACTAGATTATAACAAATCAACTTCAGTTTGCGTAGTGCTCAACATTGGCTGCCTTGAGCAATTTTCGGTTGATGATAGGAAGTAATCCACGATTACAATGGCTAGAAAACTCGCGACTCCTCCTTATCCATCAGATGCGGGACTTAAGCCTATTTAGCTTGCTCTCCGGTGTTTTCCCGCGCTTATGACGGCTAGTACACGTGTACATCTTTTGAGTCCCTATAAGTTCATGGTAATGTTTAGCTTTGCTATGATTAGCTGAAGATGGGATTACTTCGGTTCTGTTTTCACAACACTAAATCGAAAAGGGCTTTTAAAATAAAGGCTGATAGTTCGAAAGAAACTGTTTGGGGCTGCGTCGGTGGGAGTAACGAAATAATTTGGATATATCAACAAAGTTGAAATGGTAAATTGGCCACCGTAATGATTACAAAAGCTGACGTTTCGAGCGTTAGCCCTTCGTCGGAGCGAATAGAGGAATTGTGGGTTGTGTGTGCTTTTAAAGGCAGAAAATGGAGCTACGTTATTGGTGGGTGCATGGCAACGAGAAAAACATGAATAAATTTTAAAATAGTTTGCGATGCCTTTGCAGTTTTAATGCCGCCCCTGGTACTGGAGCAGCCATGCGGTCAGCAGCTGCACGCTTGTCCATCATGAATTGCGAGGAACGAAATGAACTGAAGAACGAGATCCGAGAATGCTTGGGACCCATAGGACTGAATCTTAAAACACTCCACAAGATGAAGAAGTTAGATAACTTAGTTTGTGAGGTAAATGTTTCTGGAATGGTAACTGTACCGAGTCGAAGTGACGTGTGCAGTTTGCCTGATTCTCAGTATTGAGCTACGTTTTAAAGCCTGTTGTAATTAATTGCGGCTTGAAATTGTACTTCGTGCGCTCTCATCTTTCATATACAGAGCGACCGCCGCCAAAGGAATATTTCGGTTTTCTTGACCAAGCACGCTTGCAGTGGCGACAACGCTCAACTGTAGGTAGTTCTCCTTCGCAACATCTTCTAAAAGAACTGGCATTTTAAATGATGTGCATCTTACCTTTTCCTAGAGAACCATAATGAGGGGGAGAGAAGGTTTTACTCTATTGTTTTGGTGATTCATAATTAAGGAAAAGATGGGCGTAATGAGGAATTTTCTTTTGGTGCCCTCAATGTTCCAATTCTCGTCTACCATCGGCCATTTTACCCTTGACTCTTGCAAGGGGCTCTTACGCAGCTATGTGAATAGGAGGCTATTATCAGAAGAGCGTTATACCACTACCCGAAAAAAAGGTTGTGGTCGTGCGAAAAAAAAATGTTTTCTTTGAGGAATCCTTTTAATTGGAAAAAAATTCATACAATGGGAGGATAGATCTTGTCAGCCCTCGTTTTATTCAAAGAAGATCTCGTCAGCCCTCGTGTAATTCAAAGTGTTCCAGACAGAGCTGTCAGCGGGTATGCGGTCAACAACGCGGGCTCAACTGTCTTAGGTCTAAAATTTAGCGGAATTAGCGGAAAATAATAAGGGCTGCCCTTTAGAACCGAGGAACTCTGTTTTCGTCGAAGGCACATTCCTATTTCCAAAAGTTTAGAGGAGAAAATTAATTTTTGAAAATTTTTAGAGGGTGTACCAAATGTTTGGAGGTTGTTCTGTAAAAGAAAAGAGTCAAGGAAAACGACGCCTCGAAGCAACAGAATAGGAAATCAACCATGCGAACGACTCAAAATCCGTGTTTCCGCGGCAAAACCTGGCGCATGCGTATACGTTATTCAGCTCTGTCAGTGTTCGATATCTTTTTATTGTCGTTTTATCTGTGATTTAGTGTTGTTTATTTATTTATTATTAATATCATTATTATTATTAACTTTTTCAACAAATAAGTTGCCTTGGCTTTTTGTTTAGTTATATATTTCTTTATTTTGTTCTAGGTTCTCAGGATGTATCCACCAGTGGCGTTGTATTTTGGAATCGCCAGGTCAGCTTCACTTCTACACCTATAAACTCCTACAATAACCGACAAATTAAATCAAGTAAAACGCGCGATCATTTTCGCTCTCACCGGCATCCATATTTTACTCTTTCTTTAATTGGTATCGTTACGCTGTAAAATCTCTCTTCTGATTGACATACCAACTTACATATTTCAATACCACTTATTTGCAGGAGAGCGTTCTTCGTCAAGACTTCTTCTGGAATTTACAAAATTGACAAGGGGCAAAAAGTCGTAGGGAATTGTCATTTGGCTCAGAGAGATCCCAAGGTTTTTGGCATCTCTGGCTGCGAGGGCGTAGACGAGTTTGATCCCAGCAGGTTTAATGTTAAGGTCGGTGAGCTGAGCAATAATCACCTGATTAGGCTGTAGTTAACATGTTTCGGGTTTTCACTTCGTAAAACGGGGCGCGCTGGATGGTGAAAGCAAAGCGAAGAGTTGTTTGCGACCCTATCTTATTCTTACCACAATGAACATCTTGAGATGTTGGAAAAAGAAAACCCCTGGAATGCTGGAAAAATCACTGGCCTATGGCTCTTAATTGACAATCTTCCTTCGTCCGTTGTTGCATAAACAATTGAAAATGCGTCTTTTGCATCACAATCCAGCTCAGATTAGATTAAGACTAGGTATATCAACATCATTTTTCCGAGGGCTTCAATAGATATGTGCTCTTTTCTAGGGTCTTAAGTCCAAGCTGATCTGTACGCACGGTCCATTGTCTGACCCACCCTCCCCTGAAAACCACAAATGTACAGGGACGGTAAGTCATGGGATTCATATTATCTGATAATTTTCGGAAGTATACAGTTGCATGGAGCTAGCCGTAGTTTGCGTTTTCTGCCGACCAAGGGGACTAACGAACTTATTTCATGAAAGCCGACATTTCTCCGTCATTAACATCGGCGCTCTGTTGAACCCAAGAGGACCTCCCAATAGGTACTCGGGATAGCATACAAACACTTTTCAAATGCGTGTCGAAAGCAAGCCGGGATCAGTTTGGGTTCTCCAACCTGATTCGTTCCTTGAGACATCTTCCCCCCCTTGTTGCGATTAGCGATTCTTATTACTTTGGTTAGGTTTTTACGACACTCAATCGAAATGCGCTCTGTCGTGTTTGATTAATTACATTTCAGTTCAGCCACATTCATTTAAATGCGAGGTTGGTTCGACAATGCTACCCTTTGTACACTTCAGTCCCCGGTGTACCTTGGGAGATCAGATGCTATTTCTGCTTTAGATGCAGAACGTTCTCTTGTTGTTATCCACCATTAATTACACGTCTTGATCTCTTTTTAGAATGTTGGATACGTCACGCTTAAGTGTTTCGTTCTTTACTTGATCATGTTCTGTGACTGGAGTTTGGAAGAAAGACCATTCTGGACTGACAAATCGTAAGAATTTCTTCAATCTTAAAATATCTTGAAATGTTTGATGAGAGAAGTCCTTCGAGGCAAACAGAATTAACAATTGTATGGGTTTGATCACTTTCCGTGGTCAGTATCTTGTTTCTGAATGAAAAGTAAAGAAATTATCTGTTGAGAGTAAGAAAAAATTTGAGCGCAATAGATTTAATGATCGAGTGCATGAATAAATTTGCTTCTTTTCATTTAAATTTTGTCGGTTCATTTGTATCAAAGTTACAGAGCTTTGTCAGTAGCTTTATCATCTTCGTTTTTTTTTTTTCAGACTAATTCGTTATGGAAATCCGGACGAGCCCATCCGCCTAAAATACTTCAAGTATACGAGAGATAAGGTATCAACTGTTCTATCCGTCGTGCGCTTGCAGTTCATATGTACAGGACTTGATTCGCAATTTTTCAAGATAATTTGTGGGGGAGATGGGAGATATTCTAAAAAAGTCGGAGGAGGAAGAAAATTGTTTGTTGGGGTAAACAAATACCGAGAGGTACTAATATGCCAAATTTTTACAAGGGGAGCTAGGTATGGAAAAGATTATGGCGCTTTTCCATGTCAGTATCTGAGACATTGCGCACCTACCCCCTCCCCCCTAACCCGATAACAGTTAACTGATCACAAGTTAGGGGAGGGGGTGGGTGTGTAGTTGTTCAGACTGACATTGATCTGAGTATCTCTAGATCATTACAAAGATAAGCACGCAGGTGTAACAGAAATATCATATAGAGCCAGTGAGATCTCAACGTAAAGGCATGAAAACTTTATGAAGCGTGGGGAAATGCAATTAGTTTTAGTTTGCATCTGATTGGTTGAGAAGTGTTGAGAAGACCAATTCCAAAGCGAAGAGGAGTAAATCCAAAGCCATCCCAGATTACTTTCCACACTCAATTGAAAATGGCTTTAGTACGAATTAATAATTGTGAAGTTGAGAGCATAGCTCAAAAGCACCCTGGAACCACTTTTAAAATTGTTACTGTTGTTAATTACCAGGAAGAGCTGTTGCTACCTGATCAACCGGACAGTAGCAGCAGAAGCGATGAAGACGTAAACGACGGTCCGCCTGGTGACAGTGAGTGTCCTGTGGAAGAACCTGATGCACGAGGAAACTGCCCGCTTTGACAAGGCATGAAGAATGTGCTGTGTTACTTTGGAAGTTGTCATCTTGATATCTTCCAAAACACAGGACATTTAAGCTGGAAGTTAAATTAAAACCATCCCTGTTTTCTCTCCAGAAAGGGAGATAAAGAGCACGTTTTCACTACTATTTTGTCAACTTCTAAGATTATTACTCGGAGGGAGAGCTTCTCAAGGAATTTCTTAGAGAAAAGATTGCGGTAAAGCACGCGCTGATAAACTAAGACCGTTAATTACAGTTGTAAAGAGTTAGTTGTCACCGTTGGCTAAGTATATTCGTGGTACATGCAGGACCCCCATATTTTTATATTTAAGTGTTTCTGCAAGTAAAGTAAAATATTTAATCATATCAACGTGCCATTTAGTAATTAAACGACTCGCTAACGCGTAAATCTTTATATCTTTACCTCACAGGAGAATTTCTCTAGTCTTGATTTCTACCTTTTTGAACTAGTGAATTTATAGTGTGGAATTTTATAACAAGTGTAATTTACTATCCAATCATCTTCTACTATTCAACTGCGTCCTATCTGTTGTCAAGCTTTCATTACACCTTTTACTGATGTCATTATTACTAAATTTATCATAATTTATGTTCTTGATATATAATATTATTAGTATAAGATTTTATTAAAAACTGGATCATTAGCTAATACAATTCAAGACCTTTTATTGGCTTAACCATTATGGTATATGAGCCAATATACCATAATCTAATATTAAATATTTCCGTCGCTAGATTTGTAATCCTTTATTCAGGTGAATTTCGTGGAAAGTATTTTGTGAAAAATTAATGAGAGAGATGAGAGCAGTTTTCTGTTGAATTTGGTAAAAACTAAAACTAACTCAATCTCAACAGTCGATCAAAGCGACTTCGTACTACGAAAACGAAGACCCTAGGTCTTCGTTTTCGTACAATTTATTGACAGAACCCAAGAGTCATTTTTCCCGTACAGAACGCGTTCTCTGCTATTCTGTCACCCAATGCTAACTATAAATCAAAGGCGGCTGGCGTTGGAATTCTACCTGCTGTTCTAGAATAATAATATGTGTGGTAAGTTTACCCGAGGAAACCCTCAAGAATATCAACACCAAATTGGCTCGCATAGCGAAACAGAACACTGACAAGACGGGCCGTATAATAATATGGGCAGTACAATAATACGGGCAGTATAATAAAGGGAAGAAGGCTGATAGTTTCGAAAGAAACTGTTTGGGGCTGCGTCGGTGGGAGTAACGAAATAATTTGGAT